CTCTATGAGGAGATGCTGATTGGCCAGGGCTGTGCTTGAATTGTGCTGGCTCTGCCCCGATCTGCCTCTTTGTCAGTCTGAGCCAATCCTATGGGGAAGCATTGTGATTGGATCAAGCCACCACTTCTAATGATGTCAGAGGAAGTTCACAGGCAGAGGCAACAGCTTCAGACTTGAATACAAGTAAGATTTTACTATCTTTAGGGAGACAAAGGGGGCTAGACAGTGGTTTTAACACTATAGGCATAGGCGTGCGCAGCCTATTGCATTAGGGTGTGCACCCTAAAGCACAAACACACGCCACGCGCGTGTGTGTGTATGTATCTATATATATATATATATATATAAAAACACACACACACTGTGTGTGCTGTTAGTGTGCTGTGTGCTGTTAGTGTGATGTGTGTGTGAGGGTGCGTGTTTGTGACTGTGCTGTTTGTGTGTGAGGGTGTTTGTGTGTGTATGTTTGTCCTGTGAGGGTGCTGTTTGTGAGGGTGCTGTTAGTGTGCTGTGTGTGAGGGTGTTGTGTTTTTTTTAAAGGTGCTGTGTGTGTTTGTGAGGGTGCGGTTAGTGTACTGTGTGTGTGTGTGAGCTGTATGTGTGTAGGTGCTGTATGTGTGTGTGCTGTATGTTTGGAGGGATTTGGCAGATTAGTAAATCCTTGCTGCCATGTGCCATCCCTGGTGGTCCAGTGGAGAGTGAACTCTAGCCTGCGGGGCTAGAGTTAACTCTCGCGAGATCTGAGCGTTGCCGCAGCAACGCTCAGATATCGCGAGAGGAACCTGGCGGAGCTTCTGTCTAGAGCTCCCTGGGTCCTCTACTGCCTCCCTCCATGCTGCTGTGGGCCGGTGAGGTAGATCTTTGGTCTCCCCGCCGGCCCATGAAGGCTTAGAGCAGAGCCGGCACTCAGATAGCGCCGGCTCTGCGTGTGTGTGTGTATATATATATATATATATATATATATACATATATATATATATATATATACGTACACACACACACACTCACAGACACACTCACAGACACACACACACTGACACACACACATACTCACAGACACACACACACACACTCACACACATTATTATATTTTAATTTTAAAAAACAATGTCCACCCAGCCTCCTACCTGGAGTGCTGGTGGACTTTTCCCTGGTGTCCAGTGGGGGCGGGCGCCTCTCTGCAGCTCAGCCGCGGCAAGGGAGCTCTCTGCTGTCTGCTCCCTCTCGCCGCATGGGCTGTCTGCTGGAGCTAGGAGCCGGAATATGACGTCATATTCCGGCTCCCGGCATCAGCGCGCGGCAAAAGGAAGCAGAGAGCAGACAGCAGAGAGCTCCCTCACCGCGCGCTGAGTGGGGTGGTGGGGGATGGGGGGGGGGAATCCATCACCTCTTGCCCTCCCCATGACAGGGGCAAGAGGTGAAACAGGGGGCACTGAGTGCCTGCAGGAACAGCGTTCCTGCTCAAAAAAAGTGCAGGAACGCTGTTCCTGAGGGACTCAAACCATAGGCGTGCCACGGGGATTAGGGTGTGCCCAGGCACACCCGGCACACCTCGTGCGCACGCCTATGACTATAGGGTCAGGAATACATGTTTGTGTTCCTGACCCTATAGTGCTCCTTTAAGGTTTTCAGTTTAGCTTGGGGTCCATGTGGTCCTAGAGTACAATACACATAGGGAAAACATAAATTAAATTATTTTTCAGTGCAAGGGAAGCAGTACTGTGGGAACTATTATTATACTTATAGCTCAGTTCATGGTTGTCATTAATATTACTAGCTGCAATGTTAACCTGTCAATGCCTGATGTAACAGGTGGGGCGTGCATGGTATTTCCCCCCATTCATTCACACCCCAGTAAAGTACTCTTAGATTACCCCTTTGATATATTTACTATGCTTGAAAAAAATTTAAAATTGCTTTTTTTCAGAATAAACAAAGTTTTGCTCGGACAAATTGAATTTCATTCAATTATTTTCAATTAGACAAATTTAATTAAACAATTCAGACAAAAAAAGCCTGTGGGTGTCAATATGAATTGTCTTTCTCAGTTACAGTCAGGGCCGGCCTTTGGGGTGTGCGAGCTGTGCGGCTGCACAGGGCGCCATGGCAACAGGGGCGCCGGGCGGCCGACACAGCTCGCAGTCGCTCTGTCACTGGCCGGCCCGAGATTGTGTGAGAGCTGAGCCGCGGTCAGTTTCCGGAGCGTGGAGGAGGAGCTTGGGGCGCAGGCGCAGCGTCCAAGTGCTGCACCTTCACAGAGAGCCGCAGAGGGATCCGCTCCATGTGTGAGGGCGGCGGCCGGTGCTCTGCAGACAGGGAGGGAGCAGCAGCCTTCAAAGTAAGTACCTTATTTATTTTTAAGCCAAACATCTTTCATTAAATGGGGCAGGGTCTAATTAAGGGGGGCAGGGGACTAGATAAGAGTGGCACTGGGTCTAATTAAGGGGGGCAGGGGACTAGATAAGGGTGACACTGGGTCTAATTAAGGGGGGCAGGGGACTAGATAAGGGTGGCACTGGGTCTAATTAAGGGGGCAGGGGACTGGATATGGGTGACACTGGGTCTAATTAAGGGGGGCAGGGGACTGGCTATGGGTGACACTGGGTCTAATTAAGGGGGGCAGGGGACTGGGACTGGCTATGGGTGACACTGGGTCTAATTAAGGGGGGCAGGGGACTGGGACTGGCTATGGGTGACACTGGGTGACACTGGGTCTAATTAAGGGGGGCAGGGGACTGGGACTGGCTATGGGTGACACTGGGTCTAATTAAGGGGGGCAGGGGACTGGGCATGGATGACAGGGTATGATTAAGGGGGGCAGGGGTTTGATTAAGGGAGGCAGGGTCTGATTAAGGGGTGCAAAGGGTTGATGAAGGGGTGGCATGGATTGCATTAATTGGCAGGGGATTTATTAAGGGGGCTGATAAAGGGTGGCAGGAAACTGAAAAGGGGGGCATGGGGCTGATTAAAGGGGGCAGGTGGTTGATAAAGGAGTGGGAGGGGATTGATGAGGAGATCAGGGGGCTGATGAAATGGGGGCAGATGGCTGATAAATAGGTGGGAGGGTATTGATGAGGGGGCAGGGGACTGATGAAGGGGTGGCCAGGGGTTGGATTATTTGGCATGGGATGTATTAAGGGGGCTGATGAAGGGGAGCAGGGGGTTGAAAAGGGGGCATGGGACTGATTAAAGGGGGGCAGGTGGGTGATAGGGGTGGGAGGGTACTGATGAGGGGGTCAGGGGGCTGATAAAAGGGGGAGGGGATTGGTGAGGGGGTCAGGGGACTGATGAATGGGGCAGAGGGCTGTTAAAGGGGTGGGAGGGGATTGATTAGGGGGTCAGGCGGCTGATGAATAGGGGCAGAGGGCTGAGTAAAGGGTGGGAGGGAATTGATGAGAGGGGCAGGGGACTGATGAAGGGGTGGCAGGAATTGATAAAGGGGTGGGAGGGGATTGATGAAGGGTAAGGGGTGGCTAGGAGTTTGACGAAGGGATGGCCAGGGCATTGATGAAGGGGAAGGGGTGGCCAGGAGTTTGATGAAGTGGTGGCCAGGGGCTTGGTGAAGATCTGGCCAGGGATTTTGGTTAAGAGGTGCAGTGGTTTTGTAGAAGGGGGTGGAGGCAACAGATTGTGAATGCTCCTAAAATAGTTTGAAGGGGTCCAAACAGAGACAGGTGAGGGGGGGGCGCCACAAGATTGTTTCGCACAGGGCGCCTGAACACCTAAGGCCGGCCCTGGTTACAGTGCTCTGATTGGTTAGGTTGTATAAAATAGCTTCCCAGTTGCTAATTAGTATATAAATTGAGCAGCAGCTGGTGAGGATAGTATAGCAGATAAGGACACAGTGGAGATATTATACTAATATACTAATAAGGGGTTTATATTGACCCCATGGGCTCTTTAAACATTTTAATGTGGCAGCTGGCTAGCAAGTAGTTTTTTTTCTTAGTATTTGGCCGCTGTGCTGCTAGTCCTGTCAGTGGGCAAACAGTTGGAATTTTAACTCGGAATCATAAAACAAACAAAATGGTTCATCCTCTAGCCGTTTTATTTTGTGATAAGTCCATACGGTGTTTCGGGGTTTAGGATTTTGGATAAATCACCAGAATTTGGATGAATGATGATTTATCTGAAACCGAAAACACAAGTCTAGTATTTTCAACCATTATTTAGGGAAAGTTCTAAAAGTGGAGGAAACAACGGAGCGTTCCTGCTAATCATTCCACCTTTGGAACCTTGCCCCAGAATGGCTCTATGCATACATATACATTGCTGGTGGGTGAGCATTTAAAAATGTATGGGTTTTTTTTTCTTTCAGTTTTATAAATGAACTAAGGTCTTTTCAAATCTGTTAGAAAAATATTTCAAATGATTTATCTATAGAAGTCACTATTAAAGTCAATGAGAATGTTCGTAGATAGATCATATGAAAAGTTTTTCTAACAGATTGTGATCATTTGCTAGATCAAAGGCAAAAGTACATTATCTTCACTAATCTCTGCACTGTCTGTAAAATTTCCAGTATTCTTTTTCCCTTATACTAAACTTGAAGGAACACTTCCAGCCCTATAATGTAATCTTGATGAAGCTGTTATGGTGGCAGAAATGCCCTCTCTATCTTTCTGATGACCACTGTAGTAATTAGGAAGGTATTCTGGGTGGCCTCAGCCTATCACTTGCCACCCATTGAGAGTTATAATATTTATTAATGAGCGTAATAGTACTCATTGTGACCTTGTTAAATTTGTGACAGATAATCACTGATCTGGCACGCATAGGCAAGTGCACTCATCAGGATATGGCATACAAACACATGTACCGACTTTACAATCACATCCAGCCATCTGCTGAACCTGATACATAATGATATACTCAAAGTAACAAAGCATGTACACAAGCATGACACACATACAACCATGCTGTCACACTGACGGAAATACAGCCATGATCACACTGAAATAAACAAAAGGAGCCATGCTCTGTATAACTCAGCATAGAAACCATCACAGTCAAATATATATTTAGCTGCATTAAAAAAAAAAAAGAAGGAGTGAACACCATTCTATTACCTCTTTTAAAACACGAGTTTTGTTTGGGGGGGCTTCAGTGGATTCTGGTGCAAATAGACTGTTCTTGTAGTCTGTAATTGTAAACACTGTCTTTTCTGAGAACTATAGGCCCTTTATGGTGCTGTCCTGCAATATTTGCTCCTGTATAAGGCACCCTTACAAATATGCATTGTCAGTTGAGTGCAGTCCTCTTGGTTTGGTTAAAATATTTGCAGGACCGACATTTAGTGTCTTCACTTTGTGCATGAAGACGCCAAAAGCTCCCCGTAGAGATGTATTGATCTAATGCATCTATATGAAGGGATGATTATCTCAGAGCAGTGTTTGTCACTCACGCACACTAGCCTTCCAAAACTTCTATATGAGGACGCTCGGTTGGCTGACATCATCTCTAAAGGGAGGGGAATGTTCCTTGTGTTCCTTGAAAGCTGCACACACTGATGCCAACGTCTCAAAGTCCATCTCCTCAAGTCATATGGAGACACAGTCTATATGCAAATGTAAAAAGGGGAATAAATGCTTGCGTCTCCCTCATGCCAGATTACTACACTTAGAGTTCATCTGAGCTAACAGTGCATTCTGGGTGAATAAGAGAATAGTGTAGACTTTGAGTGAGGGAAGGGAAGTGTGAGTTAGGGTCTGCGAGCTCCTGTTCCTGTCATGTATATTTCTTAGTTTGTCAAATACCAATTCTAATTTCACTAGTCAGCAAGATAATTGCAGTAGGATTAGCTTTCAAAGGCTTAAGAACTAAAGTATTTAAATCCGCACAAAATGTCATAATGACTGTTCACAAAAAGAAAAATGTACTAATCGGCGCAAGAGATCTCGACCAATTCACATAAAATGCTGTGAACAAAGTACTTGTTGTCTAACTATCTAATGATTTAATGATATACTGAAAAAAGATTATTAAAAAAAAAAAAGCATTATATTAATTAAGGACAAACAAAATACACCGTTACTTTGATCAGCACAAAAGTCAGAAGTACAATTTCTATTTTTCCTCTATCCATTTTTTTTTATTAGGTTTTATTAATTTTTTTTTACTTCAAATCAAGAACACAATTAAAAGTAAACAAAAGCAAGAGAAGAAAGGAAAGGTTGGAATGTAATGTAGTTACAGAAAAGGGTGGCTACCGTCTGTTGAACCCAACGTTGCCAAATATGAAGGTGTTGTGTGTTGTTACTTGAGCTGCAATACTTGAAATCATATGACTAAACCAGATTTTTCGAATTATAAAAGGAAGAGAAAGAGCTGGTCCTTTCCATAATTTAGCAATCAGCATATGTGTTACAATATAATTGAGAGGAGTCAGTTTGAAACCAGTGTAGTTAGCATTAAGCAAGGCCACTCTTAGGCCAGGGTCAATGACCATATGAAGACAGTTCCACCACAGAACTGATATAACCAAGTCCGTCCACATATATTAAAAATAGTCCATAAAGCTACCCACCTTCAAAGCATAGACTAGATGAAATCAGGTAAATATGTTCAAAGGGTTGGGTGTCTAAAACACCTGGATATTACCAGATTTAAACTTAAAAAATTGGATTGCTGCGGGTATTATGACTTTTTCGGATATTATTTTAGACAATAAGATAAAACCTTTTTTTCCAACTACAACAGAATTATAATATATGCCCCAAAGAGATTTTTACTTATCTAAGAGTGAAAAACTACATAGGAAATCATATTCTAAATGACGACTATAATAATTTAAATAAAAAAATGAACAAATTCTTTGAGAGTGATTTTAAATCTAAGACCATTTCTTTCTGCTGTGAAATATTGAGAGTAAACGATAAAGATCAAAAACCTAAAGCTTGGGTTAAATGGGATAAAGATTTTCAAACCCCAGTACATATTGATCAATGGTATAACTCTATATCATTAGTAAAAAAAACAAAAACACACTGTGTGAACCTTACTGAACTGCATTGTAAAATATTCCATTAGTGGCATCTTGTCCCTAAAATGCGTAAAATAAATCCATCAGACTCCCCACTTTGTTGGAGGTGTAAGCGTTGCATGGGCAGTTCAAACCATATTTGGTGGGATTGCCATTTATTGGATACTATATGGAGTAGGATAACAAACTAACTAGTCAAACTCTTGGGTCATGAACTGGGGAACAATTTTCAGGCTATTTTGTTTTATTTTAATCTCTCAGGTATTTCGACTCGAAAAAAAAACAACCTATTAATTCATTTGACAAATGGCTGCCAAGGTGGTTATTTCTAGATTCTGGCAAAAACAAGAAATCCCTTCCTGGCACTATATTTTAAATCAACTTAAATATCAATACACAATGGAGAAAGGAATATATATTATGAAAAGAATGAATGGTATAAAAAAAAGATGGCAACCTCGGTTGGGTACCCTAATTAAAAATTGATCTTTATATTTCACTCTAACTGGATAGTTAGTACAAAATACTAAGTAAAACGACATACTCTGATGTAACAAGAGGGAATCTGTTCTGCTTATTGAATTTTGTTCATGGTATCCTCCTCAGCCGACCGGTGACCTATGTCTGTCTGCATTGTTTGTCTTTGATTGTGTTATTAATTTGAAGTACGGTATTTAAATTCAATAATGACTTGACAATATGATAATAAGATTATACATAAATATTGTTTAACAGTTAAGTCAGATCAATGCAATGTCTGTTATTTGTAGAATGAAAATGCAATAAATAAAATATATACAAAAAATTAAAAAAACAAATGGATAATACACGATAGTCTTTTACAAATTTAGGAAGTCTTTATTCCAATCTTCTTCCAGGGTATACCCACGTCTAGCTCTTATATAGGGGAAGGAAGGCAGGGATAAGATTTTCCAGAGAATTAGATTAGAACAAATAGCAATTATTAGTTTTTCTTGTTGAGTTTGAGATGGACAAGAAAATTCTAAAAAGTAGAAGTAGTGGAACCATGAGTTAAATGGCTTTGGGGAAAATATTTAATCTGCAAATATCAAAACAGTTCTGTAGGTGGAAAATAAATTAATTGCTTATTTTCGTTTGCCAGTTTGTTTTCTGGTCATTCAAGTGAATCTTGGAACAATTGGGTTGCACTTCTAGTTTCTGTGGCCAACAAGGACTTTCCAAAGTCCAACTTGAGAAGCACAACAATATGATTCTAATTTCACTGTGGGGAGGTGTATTGTTTTGTCCTCAACTCAATCTTTTTGGCATCTAGATTAAAAGGAGACAAGGAACTCCATGCATTACATTCTATGAAAGCAAAAATAATGATGAGTGTCCAATTATTCCTATAGGAACTATATAGGAAGCCACTGTATAGAGATGTGAGGACCATGACTGATAAAAAGGATACAATCAGGACAGTTGTGAGATAAATGAACAATGGGCTACAGTAACCAAATCAGGATACAGAGATAGCCAGCAACTCTTTCTTCATTAGAAAGGAATGGTTATGAGTTATATGTTTAAGTTAAGCACGGGATTTGGAGGCTGATCGGAAGCAAGGAGTTAACGAGATAAAACTAAAGTCAAAACTGACATCAAGGCAGCAAGCTTGTGGGGTATAGTTGATGGTAGCCGCAATAGTAACTTGATATCCAAGGAAGTGGATTAAGTCAGTGATATGAGAAGAAAGAATTTCTGATGAAAGTAAGTGCAGATTAACACGTAGATCAACTAGATGTCTGTTTATTTTAAGAAACTGTTATCATTCCCCATTTGAAATGAGTAATAGCTCTAGTTATTATACGGCATATTAAATGTGTAGAACGTTCAGTAGTATTTTGAAGGTTTATTGTTTGTTTTCTTCATTTAAATCAAAAGTATATGTTTAAATTGATCCAACAAATTAAAATAATTAATAAATAATATATAAATTACATTTAACTTTTTATTGCGTCCACGCTAAACAACTGATACTACAGTAAAACAGCAAAAAAAAAAAAAATTCAGAGTATATCCATCTTGCATTTCTTGCAGATTCTTAGAAACATAACTTAACTATAATGATTTATGTTACGCCAATATGGCCATTCTCCTAGCTACTGTTGTACTGTTGTATTATAATACATGTATTACAGAAGTTAGTTATAAGGATTAGGTAATTTAAAACCCAATGTAGGCAGTTTTGTTACTATCTATACTTAACCATGAAATTTATCTCCAGCTGAACTTACAGTGTGAATAACACTATATATATATACACGAGGTCTGTCTGGAAAAAGTCCAGCCATTGTTAATATAACGAGAATGGTTTCTGCAACATCGATGTAATTTGGCAGTCAAGGAGACTAGACTGGAATGCGCATGTGTGGACAATGACAACTTCACTGTACTGGTCAGTGGGAGGGCAAGGTGCCGAGGAGTGAGCATGTGTACAGTGTGGCCGGCGCATTCAAAATGACCGACCGAGTAGAGCTATGCATCAAAATTTGTGTTAAGCTCGAACATTCCTCAGCTGAAACTATTCAGATGATTTAGAAGGCTTTCAAAGACGATGCAATGAATGCAGCAGAAATAAAAATGTGGCGCAAACGCTTCAAAGATGGTCGAGAATCTGTACTACCTCAATGTTCTTTGTTGGTTGAGAGATGCAAGTCAGACTTTTACAAAGGCATAGGATAGTGCTGAAATGTTGACGTATCCTCTAAACTCCAAATAAAAGACTGCTTTTTAATAAGTCATTGGCTCTGCCCAGGTGTATGTATTTCTTCCAGTTGTATTGGTTGAGAGTTTTTTTTAAATTTTGTAAAATGTAAACTGTTTTTTTTTTTTGTGTGTATGTGCATGGATCCCTGATCTGTATTTTGTATATTTTTTTTACTACCACACATATTGTATGTCTTAAGTGCTTTCTAGTTGTCCTTAAGGGGATATTTGTAGCACCATAACAACTGTAGCAGCCTTGGTGTATAGATCATCCCCATGTAGTCTCACCACTCAATTATCTGACATTCAAAAGTGAATTCTAAAATTAAACACACTTTGCAAAAAAAAAAAGAAGTTTAAAATTAGATCTCTCTTTACAAGAAGTGTGTAGAGGTGTTGTACGTCTTAGCCAGGCCAGGTGTGGCTAGGGATGCATAAAAAAAGTGATTTAACTGCTAAATGGCAGATAATTGAGCAAAGACACTGCAACACTGGGGGCATG